CCCCCCCCTTAATGTTTGATTTGGGGGGAATTAAATGTTAGTCACTCTTCAGGGTAAAACGTCAAGCCCTTAAATCAAAATTTTTCCCTTAAAAATGTCAACAAGATAAATCAAATTGTTAATCTCCTACCATTTCGTCCTTTTCTGTCCTCTAGAGGTTGTTCATATAATTCTTCTGTCAAGAGTCCATCCTGAATATTCTCAGCAGGTTTTGGAAGGACTACAGCAAGGTAGCCTCCAGTTTCTAACTAAAAGCAAAAGAAAATTGAAGCAGAACAAATTGTCGTATCTTTTAGTCTGGATGTACAAGTTTCAATAATTTTACATTTCAGATGAAAGTATAATGGGACATGAACTCTGACAAGATTGTGGTTACACGTTTTCATTTGCTGCACAAGAAATGTGACTTAAGAGTACAGTTGATTCACATTTTTAGCAGGCAACAGCAAGGTTATTCAAGATTGGTCACACAAGTGACCAAGGCAGAATTTTTCCAAACTACACAATGTTAGATACAATATTAAGCAGACAAGTGATGAGAATAAAGAAAAATATCAATAAGGAGATTATAATTTGATCCAATACCAAATTCTCCAAAGCAACATCATAAGGATTATATGGCAAACAGTAGGGAGAATTCCAGATGAGATTCTGGGAATAAAAGGATTAAACGCACTTGGGCAGTTTGTGGAGCTATCAGGAAGCTTAAGATGCTTTCCACTGCACAATTAAGAACTCTCGAACATATCTCCTTCCTGTATTAATATGAGTTCATATATTTATAGATTTGTTAAGAACCAAACCTTTCAGTAACAAGAGTTGTGGCTTTGTAAACAGTTCTTCACCAACTTCAACCAGCTTTCCTCTGATGCAGCTTGTATAAGATCATGATATAAAAACTCATCAAGAAATAAGGGTGACCATAACGTTTATGTCAACTCTCCCACAGTATAAGGGAGTCTTCTGAAGGTATGGTGGCCTCATGGTTAGTGCGCTCGACTCCGCCGCCAGATCTAGTGGTCTGGGTTCGAGCCCTGGTGGGAAACATTGTGTTGTGTTCTTAGGCAAGACACCTTACTCTCACAGTGCCTCTCTTCACCCAGGTGTTTAAATGGGTACTGACAAATTTGATGTTGGGGAATAACCCTGCAATGGACCAGCATCCTATTCCAGGAGGGGAAGTAGAAATACTCCTGGTCGCTTCACTTTACAGAAACTGGAGTTACTGAAGCAAAGGCCTGATGGACCACTTGGCTCATAAACAGACTTTACCTTTTTTTTATCTCCTGGATAAAGAAAAATGTCTTCCAGCCACTAGTTCAGTTTCCTAAATCTTCCAAATAAAAGAAAATTTGAAGATACTTTAACCCCTTTCAGAGAATGGCAAACAACATAAATTTCAAATCTCTCCAAAAAAGACCTGTTTTCTGTCCAAGCATAGCTGTTGTAATTTGGTGATGTACTTCCAATTTCTAACAAGGAACCTCAGTGTGTGGGCAGAGACTGAGACGAACAGTTGCAAGAAAATTTTGGAAGGGGTGGGTAAAGGGAGGGATGCGATCCCATCTTACATCTTCAGATTTTTGGAGTTTGACCACTCTAACATTGAAAATGGCTAAGTATATTCTCTGATTTAATACTATGCATGATTTCCAAGGTAAGGGCTACTTTTTCATTGTATAAAAATACATTTCATACCAATACAGTGAATACTTGCTACCATCTTAACTTGTGACTTCACAAATTAAAGACTCTGGTTGTAAATGTTGAGCTAACTTCTTCCCTTTCCCAGACACCTTGTTATCCAGTCAATTCACCTTGGTG